GTGTGAAGCTACTGCTAGAGCTAGAATCCTCATATATTGTCAATGGAATTGTAAAATGGTGTGGTCACTTTGGAAAAGAGTTTTGCAATATCTTTTTAAAATTATTATTATTTGGCTGGGCGGGGTGGCTCATGCCTGTAATCCCAGCACTTTGGGAGGCCGAGGCGGGTGGATCACCTGACATCAGGAGTTCAATAACAGCCTGGCCAACATGGTGAAACCCTGTCTTTACTAAAAATACAAAAATTAGCTGGCCTCCCAAGTAGATCGGATTACAGACATGCCCACGACCAACTATTTTTGTAATTTTTTGGTAGAGGCAGGATTTCATCTCCCGGACTCAAGTGATTCTCATGCCTTAGCCTCCTAAGATCTTTTACCCAAGGAAGGAAGGATCTGGCTTTTGTGCTCAGCATCTGACTGTGAACCTCTAAACCCTTGGAATGTCATATCTGATAGAAATGTCCTTGGGGAGGGTGGAGCTGGCCATACCCAACAGTCTAACAGTGTGGTTTAGCATGGGGTCTGGCTGTAGCAGGTCATGGAACAGTGTGCTTTAGGGTGGAGGCTTTGGGACACAAGATACGCACCCACATAGCTGGACCATAGGAGGAGCTGGAGTCTGAGCTTTGCTGCCTGGGCAGTCAACCCTGCCTGCATGATGGGACCTCAGTAAAAACTCTAGACACCAAGGCAGTGAGTTTACTAGGGTGGCAATAGTCCATGCATATTGTCACACATCGATGCTGGGAAAGTAATGCTGTCCTGATTCCACAGGGACAATGGATAATGGAAGTTCCAAGTTTGGAACTTTGGCCCCTACCCTGTACACCACTTTCCTTGGCTGATTTTAATCTGTATCGTTCAGCTGTAATGAACTGCAGCTATGGTTATACAGCATTCAGCAAATTCTGTGAGTCCTGGCTGATTGTGGAACCTGAGGATGGTTTGAGGAAACCCCTGAACTCTGTTGTGTGAGCACTGCCACTCAATCACCCTGTTTATGCTTTTCTTTCTTTCTTTTTTTGAGATGGAGTCTGTCATCTAGGCTAGAGTACAGCGGTGAAATCTTGGTTCATTGCTACCTCTGCCTCCCAGTTCCAAGCAATAGTCTCCTGAGTAGCTGGACTACATAGGCCTGTGCCACCAGACCCAGCTAATTTTTGTATTTTTAGTGGAGACGGGGTCTCCCTATGTTGCCCAGGTTGGTCTCAAACTCCAGGGCTCAGTGATTCACCCACCTCAGCCTCCCAAAGTGCCGGGATTGCAGGTGTGAGCCACCAAGCTCAGCCTGGCCAACATGTTAACTTTATAAGACATTGTGAAACTGGCGGGGTATGATGGTTCATGCCTGTAATCCCAGTCCCAACACTCTGGGAGGCGGAGGTCAGTGATAGTGAGGGCATCACTTGAGGCCAGAAGTTCGAGATAGCCTGGGCAACACAGACCCTGTCTCTAGTTTTAAAAAAAATAAAACAAAATAATTTTTTTTTTGAGACTGACTCTTACTCCATCACCCAGGCTGGAGTGAAGTGGTGCAATCTCAGTTCACTGCAACCTCTGCCTCCCAGGTTCAAGCCATTCTTCCACCTCAGCCTCCCAAGTAGCAGGAGAATTGCTTGAACCTGGGAAGCAGAGATTACAGTGAGCCGAGATTGCACCACCAGTGGCTCCCGCCTGGAATCCAAGCTTGTTGGGAGGCTGAGGCGGGAGGATCACTTAAGACCAGGACTAGACTGGTCAACATAATGAGACCTGGTCTTTTTTTGTTTTTAAAGTAATTAAAAAGAATGCTTATTTAATATTATTTGTAGTGAAGAACTATTGAAAATGACTTAAGTGTCTACCAATGGGAGAAATGGATAAAATATTATGGAAGAAATATTCTACTCTATAGAATATTACACAGCCCATAAACGAGAATGAGGCTAGCCTCCATGTACTGATATGAAGAAATTTCCAAGACATGTTAAGTATTAAGAGCCAAGTTCTAGTACATACAGTATAATCCCACTTTTTGGTAAAAACTAATAAAAAATTTAAAAATTACAGGCCAGGTACAGTGGCTCACACCTATAATCCCAGCATTTTGGGAGGCCAAGGCAGGCAAATCACCAGAGGTCAGAAGTTCGAGACCAGCCTCAACATGGTGAAATCCTGTTTCTACTAAAAATACAAAAATTAGCCAAGCATGGTGACAGGCACCTGTAATCCAAGCTACCTGGTGACTGAGGCAGGAGAATCACTTGAACCTGGGAGGCAAAGGTTGCAGTGAGCTGAGACTGCGCCACTGTACTCCAGCCTGGGTGATAGAGCAAGACTTCATCTCCAAAAAAAAAAAAAAAATTAAATCCACCAAAATTTAAAAATTACACACAAAGCAGCAGGGCATGGTGGCTCACACCTTGTAATCCGAGCACTTTGGGAGGCTTAGGCAGGCAGATCATGAGGTCAGAAGTTAGAGACCAGCCTGACCAACGTGGCAAAACCCCATCTCTACTAAAAATACAAAAATTAGTTTGGGGTGGTGGCATGTGCCTGTAATCCCAGCTACTTGGAAGGCTGAGGCAGGAGAATTACTTGAACCCAGGAGGTGGAGGTTACCGTGAGCTGAGATCACACCGCTGCACTCCAGCCTGAGTGACTTAGCGAGATTCCGTGTCAAAAAAGAAAATCACACATTTCTGCATTTTTATATATGCCTATTAAAAAACAAAAGCCCTTAAAACTAACCAGGTAATGGGGAGATGTCAAAGGGTACAGAGTAGCAAATATGTAGGATGAAGAAGTGGAAAATCTAATGTACAGCAGCAGCATTACAGTTAGTAACAGGATATTGTATCCAGGATCTTGCTAAATGAATAGATTACAGCTGCTCTTGCCACAGGGAGAAAAATGGGTACTCGGGTGAGATGATGAATATGTTCGTTTTACTACAGTAACCATTTTACTATGTGTGTGTCTTGTAACATACACAACAAAATGCATTAAATAAAAAAGGAACCATTTCCACAGCACCAAGCATAGGGACAGTTGGAAAAGCTCAATCAATATTTGTTGACTACAGTCAGCAACTCCTGGAAGTTGGCTTCTGGAAGCTGTTAGATGAACCCCCATGGAACCTTTCTGTGAATTTCTTAAAATTGTAAATCAGGCAGGGCGTCATGGCTCACGCCTGTGCTCTCAGCATTTTGGGAGGCCAAGGCAGGATGATTGCCTGAGGCCAGGAGTTCAAGACCATTCCGGGCAACACAGTGAGATCCTGTCTCTATAAAAAATTTAAAAAATAGCTGGGTGTGGTGGTGCACACCTATTGTCCTAGCTCCTGGGGAGGCTGAGCTGGGAGGATCACTGGAGCCCAGGAGTTCAAGACTGCCCTGAGATATGATCACGTGATTGCTTGGGCATCAGAGTGAGACCCTGTCTCAACAACAACTGTAAATCTTTGTTTGTTTGAGACAGTCTCATTCTGTCACCCAGGCTGGAGTGCAGTGGTGTGATTTTGGCTCACTGCAACCTCTGCTTCCCAGGTTCAAGTGATTCTTCTGCCCCAGCCTCCCAAATAGCTGGGACTACAGTGTGCACCACCACACGCAGCTATTTTTTTTTTTTGTATTTTCAGTAGAGACGGGGTTTCACTATGTTGGCCAGGCTGGTCTCAAACTCCTGAGCTCAAAGTGATCCACCTGCCTTGTCCTCCCAAACTGCGGGGATTACAGGCATGAGTCACCGCACCTGGCTACAATTGTAAATCTAATAGTGTAAATCAGTCTTTAAGACCCAGGTGATCTGCCCCTTGGCTGCCTCTTGAACCTCATCTCTAATCTTCCCAACTCTTAGCCTTCTGTCCTACCTCAAAGATCCCAAAGTCCTTCCTGACTCAGGGCCTTTACACAGAAGGAGTTTTTCCTGTCTGCAATGTTCTGTCTGATTCGTATTCATCCTCCAGGTCTCTGCTAAAATGTTTAGACCTTCCTTGACCCAGTTATCTAAATGACAGCCCCCAATCCTCAGAATTACTCTCTCCCCTGGCATCCTGCTCTTCTTCTGTGGTGACATCATCACTATTGGGGAGTTGCTGTTTCTCGGTGGGTGTGTACATTTAGACTGTCTGTCTCCTCCACCAGACTCCTTCAAGGTGGGGCCTCTCATCACAGCTCACAGCTCTGTCCCCAGGGCCTGGTGCTCCTGAAGCACACACTAAACATCTGCTTCGTGCCTGAACCCCACTGCTTCTCCAGCATGTCCCCAGCCCCACCCAAAGGGAGGGCAGGCCCCATACACAGTGGGGATTTGGTCAGAGTAGGCAACTGTTGTAGAACTGAAGAAAACTGAAGCAAGACATGTGCTGCAGGTGTCCCATGTGCAGACGGGCTGCTCAGAGCCCAGGAAGGGGAGGCCAGAACCGGCAGCAGACAGGCTGTCTATCCCCCCACCCCATCCTAAGAATCCAGGACCCAGTGGCGCCAACGGAGACTGTGGGTGGGCAGCTGGTTCCAGTCTGGGGACAGGTTCCTTCCCACTTTTTCTGACTGGAGGCGAGTGAAGTTGGTTTGGGAGAAAATGTCAAAGGGAAGAACAGTGAAGTGATTCAGTCTTGCTTGCTGCCATTTGAAAGGAATGAAAGTGGGAATAACCAAAACACACACACACACACACACACACACAAAATCCAAACGAAAACACCCTACTGTTTTAGAATCTGCCTCAGAAACAATCATCTTTTTGTTTTCTGTGTCATAATAAAACGAAGGGCTCACCCAAGCTTTGTTCTGCACTTGGGCTGGTCTGCAGAGAGCCTGGTCTGCGGGTAACAATTTTGCAGCTACTAAGAAGCACTTCTCATTTCCAGTGTACCTACTGCAAGCGGGGTGCTGGGACAGGGGAAGGGTCCCAGCTGCATTGAGGGGAGGGGATGAACATCCCGCTGAATGGGTAAAGGATTAAGTCAGCATCAACCAGTGATATTTTCAAAGCGTTCATCAGAGCTTGTCTCTTACCTGCTTAAAACTCTCCAGGCCTTAAAATAAAATGTTAATCCTTCTCCTTCATTGTGATAGGCTGTATAATGACCATTGAAAGACATATCGGTGACTCATGCCTGTAATCCCAGCACTTTGGGAAGTCAATGCAGGAAGTTTGCTTGAGCTCGAGTTCGAGACCAGCCTGGGCATCATGATGAAACCTTGTCTTTATAAAAAATACAAAAATTAGTCAGTCATGGTGGCTCAAGGACCTGTGGTTCCAGCTACTTAGGAGGCTGAGGCAGGAGGACTGCTTGAACCCTGGAGGTGGAGGTTGTAGTGAGCCGAGATGGCACCACTGCACTCCAGCCTGGGCAACAGAGTGAGACCCTGTCTCCAACACATAAACCCAACAGAACCTAATCCTTGGAGTCTGTCCATTTTACCTTATAAAGTAAAAAGGTCTATACAGAATTAAGTGACTACATTAAGATTCTTTTTCTTTTTTTTTTTTTTTTTCTTTTGAGACAGAGTCTTGCTCTGTCACCCAGGCTGGAGTGCAGAGACAAAAATATGGCTCACTGTAGCCTCAGCCTCCTGAGCAGTTAGGACCACAGGTGTGCACCACCACATTTGGCTAATTTTTTTTAAGAGACGGGTTTTTGCTATGTTGCCCAGGCTGGTCTCAAACTCCTGCGCCAAACCCATCCTCCTGCCTTGGCTTCCCAAAGTGCTAGGTTTACAGGCATGAGCCACCGCACCCAGCCCCAAATTAAGATTCTTTATTTGGGGTAGAATATCCTGGAGTATCTGGGTGGCCCTAACCCAATCACAAGTGTCGTTATAAGAGAGGCAGAGAAAGATTTCATATACATAGAAGAGGAGGAGGCCACGTGACCTAGGAGGCAGAGACAGGGGTGATACAGTCACAAGTTGAGGAATGCCAGCAGCCCCCACCACGGCTGGAGGAGTGAGGATGAAATCCTCCCCTAGACCCTGCAAAGGGAGCATGACCCTTAGGACACCTGATTTTGGCTCTTCCCAAATTTTGAAATATTTTGGCTCAGTAAAACTGATTTCAGACTTCTGGCCTCCAGAACTATGAAAGAGTAAATTTCTGGTTGTGGGTTTTTTTGTTTTTGTTTTTGAGATGGAGTTTTGCTCTTGTTGCATAAGCTGGAGTGCAATGGCACAATCTCAGCTCACTCCAACTTCCACCTCCGGGGTTCAAGCGATTTTCCTGCCTCAGCCTTCCAAGTAGCTGGGATTACAGGCATCAGCCACCACACCTGGCTACTCTTTGGTATTTTCAGTAGAAACAGGGTTTCACTATGTTAGCCAGGCTGGTCTCGAACTCCTGACCTCAGGTAATTCACCCTCCTTGGCCTCCCAAAGTGCTGGGATTACAAGTGTGAGCCTTCGTGCCCAGCCACATTTCTGTTGTTTTAAGCCACCAAGACCATGGTGACTTATAGCAGCCACAGGGCGCTAATACAATCCTCTAAACAGCACCGTGGGATCCGGCCTGGCCCATGTTTTCAATCTCACCCTTACTGGGCTCCAGCCCTCCAGGGACCTTTTCCAGTTCTCAAAACTGGTCCAGCTCAGGGCTCCTACACTTACTAAATTCTTCCCCCAGATTTCCCAAGGCTAGCCCCTACTCATGATTCAGGTCTCTGCATAAATATCACTTCTTCTCACAGGTCTTCCTTGACCACCTGAATCTAGAAATGACCTGTGGGTCACTCTGTGTCACATTCCCCCATTTTACTTTAGTCACAGCATTTGTCACTATCTCAAAGTGTTATTCCTCCCAGTTTACTACTTCTCATCCTCACAAGAAAGTGGGATCCAACGACTGAAATCCTGTCATTTGTGGCAACATAGAGGAACCTGGAGGACATCATGTGAAGTAAAATAAGCCAGCACAGAAAGATAGACACCACAGGATCTCTGTCATATGTGGAAGGAGATGAAGAAGTTGATCTTTATCAGCTTCTTACAGTGACTCAGGCCTGTAATCCCAGCACTTTGGGAGGCCAAGGCGGGTGGATCACTTGACATCAGGAGTTTGAGACCAGCCTGGCCAACATGGTGAAACCCTGTCTCTACTGAACTTACAAAAAAAATTAGCCTGGCATGCTGGTTTGGGAGACTGAGGCAAGAGAATCACTTGAACCTGGGAGGTGGAGGTTGCAGTGAGCTGAGGTCACACCACTGCACTCCAGCCTGAGCAACAAGAAAGAGCAAAACTGTCTCAAAAAAAAAAAAAAAATGCTGGCACAGTGGCTCACGCCTGTAATCCTAGCACTTTGGGAGGCTGAGGCGGGTGGATCATGAGGTCAGGAGATTGAGACCATCCTGGCTAACATAGTGAAACCCCGTTTCTACTAAAAATACAAAAATTAGTTGGGCGTGGTGGTGCATGCCTGTAGTCCCAGCTACTCAGGAGGCTGAGGCAGGAGAATCAATTGATTGAACCTGAGAGGCAGAGGTTGCAGTGGGCTGAGATCGTGCCACTCCACTCCAGCCTGGTGATGGAGTGAGACTGTCAGGAAGAAAAAGGGAGAGGAGGGGAAGGGGAGGGGAGAGGAAGGGGAGGGAAGGGGAAGGAGAAGGGAAAGGTGAGGAGGGGACCGGAGGAGAGGAGTTGATCTCAGTAGAGTAGAGTAGTGGTCACAGGAGGCTGGGGCATGTGGAGAGGATAGAGAGAGGTTAGTTAACAGGTACAAAGTTATAGTTAGGGCTGGGCACAGTGGCTCACACCTGTAATCCAAGCACTTTGGAATGCCAAGGCAGGTGGATCATTTGAGGCCAGAAGTACAAAACCAGTCTGGGCAACATGGTGAGATCCCCATCTCTACAAAAAAAATTAGTTGGGCATGGCAGCATGCACCTGTAGTCCTAGCTACTAGGGAAGCTGAGGTGAGATCGAGCCTGGGAGTAAGCTATGATCATGCCACTGCCCTCCAGCCTGGGGGACAGAGTGAGACCTCACCTCAAACTGAAAAAAAAAATTGTAGTAAAAAAATACCAATATTGTATACTTCTTTTCTTCTTTTGTTTGTTTTTTAGATGGAGTCTTGCTCTGTCACCCAGGCTGGAGTGCAGTGGTGCAATCTCAGCTCATTGCAACCTCGGCCACCCAGGTTCAAGTGATTCTCCTGCCTCTGTCTCCCGAGTAGCTGGGAGTACAGGCAACTGCCATCATGCCTGGCTAATTTTTTTTGTATTTTTGTAGAGACAGGATTTCTCCATGTTGACCCAGGCTGGTCTCAAACTCCTGAGCTCAGGTGATCTGCCTGCCTTGGCCTCCCAAAGTGCTGGGATTACAGGCATGAGCCACGGTGCCTGGCCCCAATATTGTATATTTCAAAATACAGTAGCTAGAAGTGGGGATTTTGAATGTTCTCACCCCAAAGAAACCATAAACGTATGAGGTGATGGATATGCTAAAAACCTAGATTTAATTTTTTACACAACGTATACAGGTACCAAAACATCACACGGTACCTACCCCATATTTAGGTACAAGTATAGGTTGATACAAAAATAATTGCAGTTTTTGCTATTACTTTTTTTTTTTGCGCTCTTGTTACCCAGGCTGGAGTGCAATGGCGCGATCTCGGCTCACCGCAACCTCCGCCTCCTGGGTTCAGGCAATTCTTCTGCCTTAGCCTCCTGAGTAGCTGGGATTACAGGCACGCGCCGCCATGCCCAGCTAATTTTTTGTATTTTTAGTAGAGACGGGGGTTCACCTTGTTGACCAGGATGGTCTCGATCTCTTGACCTCGTGATCCACCCGCCTCGGCCTCCCAAAGTGCTGGCATTACAGGCTTGAGCCACCGCGCCCGGCCGTTTGCTATTACTTTTAAAGGCAAAAACTGTAATAACTTTTGCCCCAACCTAATATTACATGTCAATTAAAAATAATTTTTTTAGGTGGCTCTCAAAGCCACCTAAAGGTATGAGTATTTGGGAAAAAAAAAATGTGGGCTTCAAGAAGGCCTTGTCTAGTTCTTTTCCTGCTGTGTCCACAGGGCCTGGCATGTAATAGGTGCGCAGCAAACATTGGTTGGTGACTGCATCAATGACCTATCTGTGCAAACCTCTATGGCTCAAGGTGTGTGTATGTGTGCATGAGGATTTTAGGGCGCATGTGTGGTGATGAAACTGTAACCTCGATATGACCTCCCACCTTCTGGGTGACCCTTCCTCCCTCACGCTACCAGGCACTTTCTAGGCACTATTTCATTTATTCCCCACAACGCTCTTTGAGGCAAGGTCCCTTCATATCTATATAACAGACGAGGAAACTGAGCCTCTGCGATCAGGTAAGTTATATAATATATGTTCAGAAGTGAAAACCGCATTAATAGGCAGAAAAGGACCTCTTCCTTCTCCCGCCCACCCACCGCTTACCCAGACCCTCCCTTCCCCACGCTGGGTCTCTCGGGACTCTCTTTTCTATAAAATACAGCCAGGAGTCTCACTATGTTACCCAGGCTGGTCTCGAACTCCTGACCTCAATTTATGTTCCCACCTTAGCCTCCTAAAGTGCTGGGATCAGAGGCAGAAGCCACTGCACCCAGCTCCCCCGGACTCTTCAAGAGTCGCTGCGTAGGGCCTAGGCCGAGGGCGAACAGCGCGCAGGAAGCGCCTGATGGAGCAATGCCGCTACCCCACCCCCCACACACACACCTCGCGAGCCCACTACCAGTTTATCCCCAGGCGCTGAAACCACCACGGCCTGGGCGAGTGCCGGGAAATTCCCAGCGGGTGGCTTGCCCGGCGGGAGGCCGGCGCGGCGGTCTAGGCTGGTCCAGGGAGTGGACGGGGCTGCTCACGAATTGGTCGCGGCTGGAACTGTGGCGGTGAACAAAGGGTTAAGGGGGCGGGTCCGGCGGCAGGGGCGGGGCCAGGATCTCGGCCGCACCTGGCGCCCCGGGCTCCCAGCCCCGACGCCCCCTGCAGCGCCCGGAGCCGCCGCGGGATCGGGAGCCTCGGGGAAGAGCGGCGCGGGAGCCGGCATCCACCGCTGGAAGGGCGGCGACGGCGGCCGGAGCGACCTAGGGAGGCGAGCGGAGCCGCCATGGCCGAGTTCCCGTCGAAAGTGAGCACGCGGACCAGCAGTCCAGCACAGGGCGCCGGAGCCTCGGTGTCTGCGCTGCGCCCGGACCTGGGCTTCGTGCGCTCCCGCCTCGGGGCACTCATGCTGCTACAGCTGGTGAGAGCGCGCGCGCGCCCGCAGGCTGGCCGGGGGCTCCCAGTCCGGCCAGGGTGGGTGAGGGTCTCCCGGGCTCCGTTCAGTCTTCAGGAACCTTGCGCTCCCCACCCGGGCTCACTAGCGCACGGACGCGCTGCGCGTACCCCAGGGGCGCTTCCCGCACGGACGCCCCCCAAGATCGCCCTGCAATCCTCTCACCACTAGCCTTCCGCGTGGCCGTCCCTGCGAGCGCGTCACCTTGTTCAGAGTGTCCACTGCCCGTGACCCATCGGGCCCCCTCCAAGGTGGTTACCAGCGGCCACAGAGAAGCCTCCACCTGAGCCACAGTCACTGCGCACAGCCCCCCGCCCCGCAACTTTTCCCACCCCTCCCTTCCCTCCTCCCACTTTCTCACCCCTCTTTCTGCCAGGACAATGCCCCCAGCCCTCTAGGGAACCCAGCCTGAGGCAAAGTCCACTCTCTGACCACCTTCTGCCCAGCTCCCAGCAGCTCTGCGTGGCCGCACCCCGGAACATTCCTCAACTAATCGAGAGGGCACATCCGACCCCCCAACACGTACACTCAGGCACTACCCTGTGGGCTCCCGCGGGGGAGCCGGGCTCTTCTAGCTTTCTCTGGGTGACCCGCCAGGTTTCAGCAGGTTTGGCCGGCTCCACAGGGCCCAGATAGCTCGCCCCGCGCTGGAAGGAGGGGTTGTGGATAGCCAAGGATAAGATTCCTACTCTCTCCCAGAGCCCTGTACAGACCCCGACTGAGGCGAACCCATCAGAACATCCTCCACTCCCACACCAGCCACAGACCTGGGTGTTAGCTTCTTCCTCTGCCACTCTTTTGTGAGGGTCTGGAAGCTGGGTGGGTGCCCCTGAGGGAGGCTTCCCCACCAGCTGAGGGCCTGATACATTCTCAGAGGACTCAGGTGGAATTGGAGTTGGGCCAGGACTCATTTTCCTTTACAATCCAGCGAGTGGACATTTTCCACTGTCACTGCTGGGTGCTAGCAGGGCTGCCAGGCCCAAGCTGGAGGGCAGGGTGGTTGCTTTGGTGCCAGACCCTACGCTGAGGTCCAGTGTCCCTCTCCCGACCTCCCCAGGTGCGGGCCCCCTCCACCTGGGTCAGTGCTATGTCATTTCAGGATTTCTGAGATCTCTCTTTGTGGACCCCCTCCCCAGCCTCTCAATCTCCTGGTGGGTTTGTTTAAAATGCAGGTTCTTGGACTCTACCCCCGGAAAAAATGTGCAATTGGAATTTGAATCTCAGGAAGTAGAGCCAGAAATCTACATTTTTAACACTTCTCCCAGAGTTAGTTTGTTTCTCTTTTGGGGCAGAGAAGATTCTATCTTCTGAGGGAAGAAATCTAGTTCCTGGAATCATTTAATTCTACAGGTAGGGAGAGCCACTGACCCCACCATTGCTAGAATGCTCAGCTCTGGGCTGGTTGTGAGATGCACAGCCTTGAGCAGCTGCGGGGCTGACCAGGGGAGAGGCAGGTGGTGTGAGAAGTGGTACAAAAGGGCAGAGGAGGAGGAGAGCAATTCCACAATCAGAAAGGCTTCTTGGAGGAGGTGGCTTCTGAGCAGAGACTTCACTGAAATCTGAGGCAGAGAGAGGCAGGAAAAGGGTGTTCCAAGGGCAGGGCACAGTGTGAGCCAAGGTGTGGTGATGAGAAAGCTGAATTAACTTGCAGGGAGTAGCCAACAGTTTGGTGAGGCTGGAGTTGAAGCGCTTGTTTCTGGTGTGGACAGAAGCCGTGGGCCTTGTGTCAACTCAGTGAGCTATAGGGAGTAGGTTCTGTTGGTGGCTATAAGAGGTTTTGGAACAGAGGAGAGATCTTGCTGGGCAGAGGATGGTGACCGGCAAGATCCCTGTGAGGGATCCCTCACTATCCCTGGTGAGGTGGATCCTGAGGCTGGCCCCTGACAGGAGGATCACTTGTGGCCAGAAGTGCTAGACCAGCCTGGACAACATATTGAGACCCTGTCTCTACAAAAAAAAAAAAAGGAAGAAAAAAAAAAAAAAAGCCAGGCATGGTGGCATGCAGCTGTGGTCTCAGCTACTTGGGAGGCTGAGGTAGGAGAACCCCTTGTGTCTGGGAGTTCGAGGCTGCAGAGAGTAGCAATAGGGGCAATAGAGACAACGGAAGGAATTGGAGTAAGAGAGGATGCTGTGGGCTGCAAGGGGCTTGGTAGCTTCCTCTAGAGAAGCCTTGTGTTCTTGATTGGGAAAACGGGGGTAGAGGGGCATCCCTTGTGGGCTCAGCAGTCCAGCTCTGAGCATCTGGGTCCCATCACACAGATGTAGACATTGAGGTCTAGCCAGAAGGACTCGCCAGGAGTCCTGTCATGGAGCTTAGCACTTGGGTCTCTTGACTCTTAGGGACTGGGTGTGAAGGAAGTGGGCTTTCTTTGCCCCCTACCTGCAGTGACTTTGGGAAGGATGAGGGTCTCCCATCAGAGTTCTGAAAATGACCTGTACATTTTAGTGCCTTAGAAATCTGCTTGTTGGAGAAGTTGCATCCTGTTTCTCTGGCAACAGACAGTTCCACTGGGTCTGAAATGGGGCATGTGGGGGTTCATCCACATAGGCACTGCCATCTGCTGGGAAGCCACGGTACCTGCCATCTATCAGGCCAGCACTAGGCTCAGGCCCTTTGCCAAGGGCCTTAGACTCCTCAGAGTCTGCCCCATTTTACGGGTGAGGAAACTGAGGCTCAGAGGTCAGTTCTTTGACCAAGATCTCACAGCCCTCCTCGACAGGAGTGATTTTTCTGACTTTTCTGGCCCATGGTCTTAATGACCATGAGCGGCTTTGCTGCTACCTGACCAGGGTCTGGCATTATACAGGGCATTATAAAGGTGGGGACTGTGGGCCCAGCACCCACTTTCCAGGGGCTCTTCGTCAGTGAGAGAGGTGCCCAGAGGATGTGCTTCTCCCAGAGGGATCAGAGAAGGCTGCATGGAGCAGGAAATAAATGAGAAGATGGAAGCTAACTCCTCATCAAACCCGTGTTTTCCCGGAATTTGATGAAGATTCCTGGTATGTGGGAGGAAGAGGAGGTGGGTAGAAAGGCCCCCAACTCCTGGAGGAGTTATACTTTCATTCCGTATCAGAATGTGTCCTGAAGTAGGGGGTCTCACTGTCACCCAGGCCAGAGTGCTCTGATGTGCAGCCTCAAACTCCTAGGCTCAAGCAATCCTTCTGCCTCAGCCAACCAAGTAGCTGGGACTACAAGCATGTGCCACCCTGCCACCTGCACAGCTAGGTGATGCTTTTGATCTGTTATTCACCTGCAAAGTGGGAATTGTGTGACCAGCCCCAATCCCAGGAGGTGGGGTAAAATGGAAGGACAGAGGTGTCAAACCAAATGGCCTTACTGCCACAGGGCATTTGCACAGCTTCCATGTCCTGGGCCTCAAGGATGCCTACTAACTGTCAGGCCTCTGTATAAGCTCTGGTCTGTCCTGATCTCCTCCCTGATGGCCTTGGCACCTGATGAGTCTCCCTTCCTGAAGTCTCCGTTTTCCCCCTCCAAGGCACTCTAGAACCTCCCATCCCCAAAATAAACAAGATCAGGAGGCATAGCTGGAGCCAGGTTTTGGATTTCCAGATCAAAGTGCAAAGCCAGCTTGCGGCCTTATCCTGTGTGACCTTGGATGACTTCCTCGCCCTCTCTGAGCCTGTTTACTTATCAGTTAATCCAGATAAGATCATCCTTCTCCCCACGGCTTGGGGAGGATTGAAAAAATTAAGAAATGGGCACCTAACAGCACTACTTTATACTCATTGTAAAAAGGCTTTGGGGGCTCCCCACAATCACGCCTCACCCTCCCAAAATACTGGGATTATAGGCATGAGCCACCATGCCTGGCCACTCATGTTCTGAGACTTGTCTTCCTTCCTTGTAAACTGCTGTAGAGTAACAACCCATAGTGTCCCTGTAGCCTCAGCTCATTTAGCTGTTTACTGATGGAATTGTTTTATTCTTTGAAAAAAAGTACACAGACATAAGACAAAGCACTCAAATGGTAGAAAGGGTCATCCTGAAAACGTAATCTCTCTCATCCCTGCCTGACCACGCCCCACAGCTGCCCTCACCCCAGGCAACCACATGCCATGTGTCTCATTCCAGGGTGAGTGGATGCATAGTTCTACATAAAACCCAATATCCTCACTTAACCACAGATGGGTGCTCTCTGTGCATGTGCCAAGCCACGCTTTTTCCCCATGGCAGTATACCTAGGGATATTGTGTATCAGTGCACAGCCAACTGTGTCTGTTTTTCATACCTTTATTTACCAAATTCCTTCCTTCCTTCCTTCCTTCCTTCCTTCCTCCCTCCCTCCCTCCCTCCCTCCCTCCCTCCCTTCCTTCTTCTTTCTTTTCCTTTTCTTCTCTCTCTCTTTCTCTGTCTCTCTCTCTCTCTCTCTCTGTCTCTCTCTCTCTCTCTCTCTCTCTCTCATCTCTCTGTCTCTCTCTGTCTCTGTCTTTCTTTTTTGACAGAGTCTTGCTCTGTCATCCAGACTAGAGTGCAGTGGTGTGATCTCGACTTATGGCAACCTCTGCCTCCTGGGTTCAAGCAATTCTCCTGCCTCAGCCTCCTGAGTAGCTGGGATTACAGTGGAGACGGGGTTTCGCCATGCGTGCCAGGCTGGTCTTGAACTCCTGACCTCAGGTGATCCACCCGCCTTGGCTTCCCGAAGTGCTGGGATTACAGGCATGAGCCACCGCACCCGGCCCCAATTTCTTTAATAGGTAATATATTTACAATGCTCAATAATAAAATAGACTGGGAAAAGTACAGTGAAAAATCTGTTCCCTTTTGGTTTGAGTTGACTCCTTAATGCCCACTCTCAGTTTCCTATATCCCATTTTAAGACTTTCTTTAAGGAGATGGATGTGAACATGGCTCTAGATTCCTATCTCTCCCTAGTTTATATAGTCTCCCCAAGATATATAGTCTAGCCACATCCTTCTGCACTTTTTCTTTTACACTTAAAAAATGA